TTAGAATCGCGTCTAATCTGCTTATTAACATGCCTCTCACTTCCATGCCTGAATAATAGAGAAGTCCTTTGAAAAGGTTTTTTATGTTTTATTTTTGTTTGCCTGCTGCAGTGTGTTTGATTTTCATGTGATTTCAACTTTTTTTTTATTCAAGTAAGATTTGTTGCTACAAACAGAACTTCTAAAACAGAAGAAACAGTGCACAGTGCTTTTCGGGAATAGCAAAGAGTAATTCACGTCTTAGATTCTTACATTAACTTCTTGGGTAGATTGTGAGGCTGTCAGTGTGAAATAGGAATGAGGAACAGAAAAGGAAGAGGACTCCCAGAGAGGAGGGTTGTAAACTGTCTCTGGATTCCTACTGTCCTTCTGGATTTTGCTAGGGTTTCCCACTCTCCTTCCTGTTTTTACTTTGTTTATACTGAAGAGGCGGCAACAGACTGGGAGGGGAGGCGAGGTTTCCCCTCTCACTTCGGGTTGCTCTGCGGTGTACCGTGTACGTGTGAGGTGGTTTTCCCACATTCCTTTTGGAAAAGTAAGGAATTCATTCTGGGAGCCCACACCTGTCACCTTACGTGGTGATGCTGAAAGGGAACGAGGGAGATGGGCCAAGCGGCAGCAACAACAACCCTTAGCAGCCACCTGCTTACAGAGGAGTTTTCTCCCTTCTGCCTTTAGAACTGATTCCTCTCTCCTATCCTTCTTGTCTCATATTTCAGCGCTGTTTCTTTAAAAACTGTAGTAGGTCAACAGAGTGGATTTCAGCACTACTAATTTAATGTCTCTCAAAGTGTGCTCAAATTTGGATCAAATGGACTTCCTACATCTTAGGAGGTTTTATAGTTTATCTTTAAAGTTGGATAAAGTTAGCAAGGCCTCCTCCAGGGCCTTCACAAGCATCAGCAGTGCAGTCCTCTTCCCTGCCCCGCCCCGACCTTGACCCCTCTGAACACACACACATACACACACACACACATCTGCCACGCACTTTCAAGTTCCAGTGTCTTAGCTCCGGCAGTTCTTCACATCTGGATGATGGTACTCTCCTTTCAACCTGGCAAGTTTCTACCGAACGTTAAGACCCTACAGAATATCACTTCTTTTAATTCCTGCCTTTTCCCAGTCATCATTTAATCTGCTTCCTTGAATTCTACATTGCCATAGATTCCTGTGAATCATTTATCGTGGCACTTATACACAGTATTGTGTAGGTTAAAAAAAAAGTCAGCACATCTCCCCCATCTGGCCCGGGAGCTCTACAGACGAATATGAGTAGACCATCAGTGGAAATACTGTAGCTTTAATGACATTGCTGCTAGCTATCATCAGAATAGTTGTGTGTGTGTTTTCCATATAGCTTTAAAAAGGGGGAAATGTGTTAACATGAGGTTACCTAATAGTGTTGAGAAACTGATAGGCATTAACTAGGAAAAAAGTCATTCTTGTTTGTAAAACTTTACCAACTAACCCCATACTTTCTGTTAATGATTTTATATAACCAGTGATAGAAACTAGTCTGGAGAACTATACAAAGACATGGTTAGTATTATAGCCATTGAGTTGATGTTGAAATTTGTATTTGCGTGGCTTGATTTAAGATCATTATCTGTGTTATCTAAGTTCATTTATTAGATTGATTTAGAATTATCTTTCAGTATTGGGCTAATTTGAAAATTTCCCTTTGCTGAGATTAGGTGGTTTAAATGATAGAATTTCTGTGTCCATAGATGTGGTCAATGCTCTAGGAAGGAGGGCTTAGGGGCACCAATTTTGTTGGAAGAGAAAACTTGCAGCTGCCTTTGGGTAGCACTGTTCTTGACACTGAGAAACGTCAGTTGTTCCTAAAGCGGAGAGGAGAGTAGTGGAATATGGGTGCTGATGAAGATTAAGAGGGTGGCTTGGCAGCTTCTTTTGCTCTGCCGTGGGTGTGAGGGGTAAGGGCCTGTGTTACAGTGGGATGGATGGAGATGAAGGCATCGGTAGATGTTTCAAAGTGAATGTCTACAAGACTGGAATGGCTCGATAAGGATGATGAAAAAATAAAATAAATAAAAATGAGCAACCTGAGCATGACACACCTTGAGAGTTTGGATGGTGACCTTGAGCGGGGCAGGGGAAGGTAAATTCACTCCAGTTAACTAGGGGATTATCTCCTTTGTGGTTTATCCGTAAATGCGCTTGCAGCCTTTAGTAGAGGTCAAACAGAGGCATAAAGGCTCTGAAAGAGGTGGAAGAGCACCTCGTTTTCTTCCCTTCATATTCCTACATCTGCTCAGTCCTTAAAGCATTCAGCTAACTAAGCAGAAAATTGACAAAAAGTACATTCAAGTCCTTACCCCCATCTCCTTCCTTCCCAAACAGTATTGCCTCAAGTAAAATAAAGTATTGAATCATTTATGGAACCCACTGGAAATGCTAGCCCATGTTCCAACCCACCTCCTCCTGGCAAAATCTGAGGAGCTAGGAAGAGCTGGCCTGTGTGCAGGACAGGATGAGGAGGTTGGACGACTTTTCCCAGCCTCTGGAACTCGATGGATCTCACCAATGTCCTTTCCTCCCTCTGAAGCTTTTTGAGATTCCGGAACATTAGCAGACCTATATAGCCCATTAAGTTTGTGTGTGGCAAGTAGGAGTGCTCAAATATTTATTTGAATAAATAAATAGAAATTTTGTAGCTCCTCAAAAAGTCCAGCCACACGTAGAGTCTGTCATACAGAGTGAAGTAAATAAGCAAGAGAAAAACAAATACCGTATGCTAACACATATATATGGAATCTAAAAAAAAAAAAAAAGGTTCTGAAGAACCTAGGGGCAGGACAGGAATAAAGATGCAGACATAGAAAATGGACTTGAGGACATGGGGAAGGGGAAGGGGAAGCTGGGATGAAGTGAGAGAGTGACATGGACATATATACACTACCAAACGTAAAATAGATAGCTAGTGGTAAGCAGCTGCATAGCACAGGGAGATCAGCTCGGTGCTTTGTGACCGCCTGGAGGGGTGGGGTAGGGAGGGTGGGAGGGAGATGCAAGAGGGAGGAGATATGGGAATATATGTATATGTATAGCTGATTCACTTTGTTATAAAGCAGAAACTAACACACCATTGTAAAGCAATTATACTCCAATAAAGATGTTAAAAAAAAAAAAGTCCAGCCACAGAACACTCTTAAGACATAAATCACAGTGAGATCCTTTTTGACCCACCTCCTAGAGGAATGGAAATAAAATCAAAAATAAACAAATGGGACCTAATGAAACAAAATCTTTTGCACAGCAAAGGAAACCATAAACAAGACGGAAAGACAACCCTCAGAATGGGCAAAAATATTTGCAAATGAAGCAACTGACAAAGGCTTAATCTCCAAAATATACAAGCAGCTCATGCAGCTCAATATCAAAAAAACAAACAACCCAATCCAAAAATGGGCAGAAGACCTAAATAGACATTTCTCCAAAGTAGACATACAGATTGCCAAAAAACACATGAAAAGATGCTCAACATCACTAATCATTAGAGAAATGCAAAGCAAGACTACAATGAGGTATCACCTCAAACCGGTCAGAATGGCCATCATCAAAAAATCTGCAACCAGTAAATGCTGGAGAGCATGTGGAGAAAAGGGAACCCTCCTGCACTGTTGGTGGGAATGTAAACTGATACAGCCACTATGGAGAACAGTATGGAGGTTCCTTAAAAAACTAAAAATAGAACTACCATATGACCCAAGAGTCCCACTGCTGGGCATATACCCTGAGAAAACCATAATTCAAAAAGATAGATGGGGCTTCCCTGGTGGCACAGTGGTTAAGAATCCGCCTGCCAATGCAGAGGACATAGGTTCGAGCCCCGGTCTGGGAAGATCCCACATGCCATGGAGCAACCAAGCCCATGCGCCACAACTACTGAGCCTGCGCTCTAGAGCCCGCGAGCCACAACTACTGAGCCCGCGTGCCACAACTACTGAGCCCACGTGCCACAACTACTGAAGCCTGCACTCCTAGAACCCGTGTTCTGCAACAAGAGAAGCCACCACGATGAGAAGTCCGCACACTGCAACGAAGAGTAGCCCCTACTCACTACAACTAGAGAAAACCCATGCGCAGCAATGAAGACCCAATGCAGCCAAAAATAAATGTATATAACACAAACAAACAAGTAAAAAAAAAAAAAAAAAAAAAAAGATGTACCACAATCTTCATTGCAGCACTATTTACAATAGCCGGGACATGGAAGCAACCTAAATGTCCATTGACAGATTAATGGATAAATAAGATGTGGCACATACATACAATGGAATATTACTCAGCCATAAAAATGAACGAGATTGAGTTATTTGTAATGAGGTGGATGGACCTAGAGTCTGTCATACAGTGAAGTAAGTCAGAAAGAGAAAAACAAATACCGTATGCTAACGCACATATATGGAATCTAAAAAAAAATGGTACTAATAAACTTAGGGACAGGACAGGAATAAAGATGCAGACATAGAGAATGGACTTGAGGACACGGGGAGGGGGAAGGTTAAGCTGGGACGAAGTGAGAAAGTGGCATGGGCATATATACACTACCGAATGTAAAATCAATAGCTTGTGGGAAGCAGCCGCATAGCACAGGGAGATCAGTTTGGTGCTTTGTGACCACCTAGAGGGGTGGGATAGGGAGGGTGGGTGGGAGACGCAAGAGGGAGGGGATATGGGGATATATGTATACATATAGCTGATTCACTTTGTCATACAGCAGAAACTAATACAACATTGTAAAGCAATTATATTCCAATAAAGATTAAAAAAAAAAAAAGTCCAGCCACGTGTTGTGCAGGGCACAGGCCTTCTGACCTTGCTTTTCAAGCGGGGGTCAGATGAGAGTAACCCATGCTGCATTTCCTTCTTCAGCGCCTGGCCGCACCCCAGTCCAGTGGGGTCGGGCGGGAATCACCACGGAGACTGAGACACTGGCTTCGTGTCCCACATTCTGATCTAGCGCTCTCTTCTTGCAGGTGCGCACATTTTGACCGACTGAGCAAGAAGGTGGATTTTCCTTGTGTCGAAAGAGAAGAAAATGTCCCCGTGTCTGTAGAGATGCTTTGCAGTTCAGCCCGGCTGAAGCTGACCGAATGAGACTATGGGCTGTGCCTCTGCGAAGCATGTTGCCACTGTTCAAAATGAAGAGGAAGCCCAGAAAGGGAAGAACTACCAGAATGGAGACGTGTTTGGTGGTAAGTGCAGTTGAATTTCATCCTCGGCCCCTCCATCCAGGCCTTTCATGTGAACAATTGCAGTGTTCCTGTGTTCTGTTTGCTGGGGGGCGGGGCGGGATGCAGGGGTGATGGGGGGGGTGTGGGTAGAGGGCTGATGAGAGATGATAAAAATCAAGGCAGATCTTTTACATTGGACAGTTTTCATCATAATTTATACCTAGAAGACTTTGAGGAGGATCATGGAGGTTTTATGCAGAGCTCACATTTAAATCAAGCTTTGAAGAACTAGTAGGACATAAACAGGTGCATGGGACAGTGGCCACAGGGTGTCCTGGTCCAGAACTGTAGGACTGAGCACATGGAGGTCCAAAAGCGGGCAAGGATTTATAATGGAGGGAATGACGTGTGTTTTGGAGTTTATTATAAGTTTACAAGGAATTACTCTTTCCGTGAATTAGAAATTCTCGTTTTCAAAAACACAATTACAGTGAACTTAGAAATCATCTTTTAACCATCCTGTGATGATTCATAGTGACTTGAGACTATCTAGTGCAGAGGTCACAGACTGCCAACCCATGGCCACATCTGGTTTACAAATATATTTTCTTTGGCCCCCAGAGAATTTTAAAATAAAAAAGCAAGGCGGCCTTTAAAAATCAGGATGTTTCACACAAAACCCCAAATTTCTTGAGAAGGTCTGACAACACTGATTTTCCATTTCCTTAGGCAACAGTTGGTGGAACGGGGTAGCAGTTGCTGGTTCAGTCAGAGTATGGCCTCCAGTAAATGGCTGAGCCCTCCCCGTGAATGCACATCAGGCCCAGTTCACTCACTGACGTTCCATGCCTGGCCACTTACAGCCTTTTGAGTTCGCCTAATCTTGAGTTTGTCCTTTGGAAGATCAATGATTACCCTGATGCAGGGTGGCTATGGGTTTGTACAAAATTCCAGTTAGTCCAGGCAGATGAAGCAGTTTTTGCTGAATTACTTTAACAATAATACCCAAGACTTGACATTTTCATGGTACTTTTATTCATAAAAGCACCTCTACATCTCTTATTCAATAAAGAACCTCATTGCAATGATGTTTACATGTCAACAACTCAAGTTGCACTATTCCGTCTCTGTCAAGGAATTCTACTGCGTTTCAATCTCTAACTTTTGATCCATTGCATTGGTTGTTTCAGTCCCCTGGGGAAGAATTGGGAACAATGTGGAAGGGGTAATGCTCTGTTACAAGTGGACTCATGTATATGGACGGAGGAAGATTTCATTTTGTTTTAAGGAGATGTATTTGTTGCCTGGAACAAATTTGCTTCTGGTGGTCACTAGCAATAGAAACAAGAACTGTGGAGAAGAGGGACATATGAGCATCTTAATAAAGTAGAATCCAGCTCTTTGAAACCACACCTTCTGGGAAAACAGCTAATGGGAACTAGAGTCATTACTGTTACTCTCAAACACTTAACTTTTAAGAGGAAATAATCTAATATCAGGGATTTGTTTAAATTAACTTCTATGTGAGGTTCTGTGTCATTGTCATTTTTGTAATTAGAGCTACCACTTATGGAGCCTTCACCATATGTCAGACACCAAGAAGCATTTACATTCATTTTCATGTTGAATTTTCACAACAATCCCGTGAAATCTGTGCCATCTTAATTTTACAGATTTGGAAGCTGGAGCACAGTGTGACTAGCTGATCCAAAGTTACTCAGCTACTAAGTGGTAGAATCAGATGTCTCAGACTCCAAAGTCCACATTTCTTTCTCAATGTCATTTCCTGCTGCCTCCCATCCGTCACTCATTCTTTAATGCGAAAAAGTATTCACTGGCCGGTACACGGTGTGTCAGACCCTTTGCTAAATGCCATGGAGGATACAGAGATAAACCTTGCTTTCTAGGAGTTCGTAAGAGGATGATGAAGTGTTATGAGGCAGAATAAGCCAAATACCAGAAAAGGAAAAGACATACACATCATGATAAGAATCAGAGGGTTGAGAGACTGCCTTAAAAGGTGGGATCAGAGCAGATTTCTTATAGAGGTGACAGCTGACCCTGGCCCTAAAGGACTGGAGAATCTAAACCTGTCGGATGAAGGGTGTGGGAAGGAACTAGATGAGGAAAGCCTAGACGTGATGTGACCCATATTCAAGAATTACAAGTAATCCAGTTCGAATGTAATATAAAATATAAGTGAGAGGGAATTGGGTACAAAACTAAGTTAGAGTTAAATTATGGAGAATGTGGAATACCAAATTACAATCTGTAGAAAGGTAACCTTAGATTTGTGAGAACAAAAATTTAGTGATATTCAGTATATTGTATTAATATTTTGCTTGTCAGTGAGACCATCTAACCATTCATTTGCTAATATGGTTACAACTTTTATAGCTAAGAAGACGTTCTGTTGTTCTAAAGTACCATGTGTAGTTTGCAAACGTTAGCATCTAATAAAGGAGTCTTGTATTAGTCAACTATTGCTGGGTAATAGACAGCCTCAAGATCTTAGTGGCATTCAGCAATAATCATGTCTTTCTTGATCACGAGTTGCTTGGTCAGCTGGAGTGGCTCTGCTCCATGTCTCTCTCAGCTTCCTCGTGGGACCAGTGAGCCAAGGGGGGTATGCTCTTCTTTTGCAAAAGGGTAAAATTACAAGTGATACCCATGATGCCTCTTAAGCTTAGGCTTAGACCTGGCACACTGTCACTTGCACCCACATTTTACTAGCCAAATCAAGTCACATGAACAGGCTCGAAGACAAGGGGCAGAGAAGTCCATCTGACCACAGCACATTCATGGCAAGGGTATGGATGTAGAGAAGGGCCAAGAATTGGGACTAATAATTCAGTCTACCCCATGCCTGCCCAGTCATTGCTGTCTGTGTGGCTCCATGCCATAAAGTGCACTCAAGGCCTCTGCCAGCTTCTCTTCATCCTCCTGGTACTCACACTGAAGTTTCATTCACTCCAGCATTCATCATCTTGTTACTCTTTCTTACATCAGCATTTGCAGGTTTGTGGCATTGTGTTAGATAAAGCAGGAATACAGGGAGGGAGAGAGCTTCATGTACCAGTCCAGGGAGAGTTTTCCTAGCCCTACAGGGTTCTGGGAGTAGAATCGTCAGAATCCATTGTGAACGTCAGTACCAGTATCCTAGATGTTACTGAATGCTAGAGTTTGAATATGACAAGAGAAGGTCCTATCTGTTTCTCCACTTGAATTAGTTTGCAAGCAGTAGTCTACAAAATCCCAGTAGAACCACAGATGGTCACAGATGAATGGTAGATCTGGCTCACTTTTAGCCATTTGATATCTTTTGTCCCCCATTGTTTCAGTGATCTATTATCACATAGCAAAGGACTCCAAACTTAGCAGCACTGATTTATTATTTTTCCCAATTCTGTGGGGTGGCTAGGGTTCATCTGCTGTTTTTTTTTTTTTTTTTTTTTGCCTGGGCTCAGCCATGCAGCTGCATTCAGCTGGGAGCTCAGCTGGGCTCGACTGACCACGATGGCTTCAGACCTCTCTCCCTCTGGGTAGTCAAATTTTCATGTGGCAGCTAGCTTCCAAGAGAGGAAGTAGAAGCTTCCAGGCCTCTTAAGACCTGGGTTTGAAAGTACAAGAATGTTATTTGTGCCGTGTTCTGTTGAGCAAAGCAAGTCACAAGACCAACCCAGAGTCAAGGGAGCACAAAGGCTCTCCATCTGTTGAGTCTGTGCCTATAGGGAGGCGAAGAACTGCTGGGAGCCGTCTTTGGAGATGGGTTACCACACCCATTGATAGAGGCAATGAGAACTCATGACTGGATTGTATTCCAACCTGGACAGTTACATTCTGCTTTCTAAATCACGCCTCTATTTTCCACCGAATAAAATGGCCTCATTCACTTTTCAAAAGCTTAATGCTTGAAAGACGTTATTACCACATGTTGAAGAGCTGACCAAGTCTGTGAAAGGTGGCACATTTGGGGATAGCTCTGAAGTATATGTCTCTGAGTGTGTGTACACACACACATTCGATCCTTTTCCTAAAAGTGTTAATTTAATTTCATAGCTTCTAAGGACATGCTGGGAAGCGTTGATAAGCAGCGTGTTTTTACAAATAGTAATTTCCATTTATATGAAGCATTTTGGTCTCTGTGATATTTTGGTTATTTAGGAGATGATGCCAAAAGCTCAGCTTCCCTCTACACCGGTGCTGAATTGAACCTCAGAGACATACTTTTGGGTGAAGTAGAAAAGGATAGCTTTATTACTTTGCCAGGCAAAGGGGGACACAGCGGGCTCCTGCCTCGAAAAACTATGTGTCCCCACTTGGAGAGGATAGTGAGAAGTTTTATTGTAATGGTTCAAAGAGGGCATGATGAGCTTGTGGACATTCTTCTGATGGGCTGGTGGTGAGGTAAGTAGGAGTCAGCATTATCAACCTTCAGGTTCCAACTGGTCTGGGGTCTACATGCTTGTGGGTAGTGTACCATCATTAACTTCTCCCACCTGGAGGGGGTTTCAGTATTTGCAAAACAGCTCAAAGATGTTGTTTGTATCCCTTGATGGGGAGCCAGGACCTTGCCCCAAGGCTGCACTGTTGTTTCTCTTGACTGTTTCTCCCTGGTCTCACATCCCCTCCCTTCCCTAATTAACAACTGTTTGAATCTGCCCACTGGGACTCAGGGAAGGTCATGGAGTCTGAAGGAAGGCTCCTTCCTGTAATCAAAGAAATGGGGGAAACAGAAAGGCTTTGTGCCCAGGAGCCCCACAGGGCCCTGCTCGGTATCAGAGACCCACCACTCAAAATGTGTGGAACAGAATTGCTATAGAATATTCCACCATTGAGGATTAACTGACAAATGGGCATCTTGACTCCTAGATTTCATAGACTTCAGGAGATCATTGACAAGGAACTTTATCACGGACGTTGACCTATAGACTTTCTTTCTACTTTAAGTATAGGAGCATAAAAAGTTTCAGATCTAAAGTTGTGTCTCATTTTTGTGGCCCTTTCAGAAGTAAAAGCTG